CGAGGAGTGGTGGCATTTCCTACAAGGAGTGGAGGAGAAAATCGAGGTCTACACTGACCACCGCAACTTAGGATATTTCCGCACTGCGCAATGGCTGAACCGGCGCCAAGCGCAGTGGTCCCTCTTCCTCTCCCAATTCCACTTCACCCTCATCCACCGCCCTGGGAAACTCATGGGAAAGCCAGACACGCTCTCACGCCATGTGGACCACCCGAAAGGCAAGGACGACAATGATGGGCTGACCCTCCTCCAACCTGCTTGGTTCGAGGCCCATGCAGCGGAGGCGGTCTTGGTGGAGGGTGAGGAGATGACTATCCTCAAGAGGATTAGCAGGGCAAAAGACCTGGATGAAAAAGTGGTGAAGGTGATGCGGGAACTGGGAGAGGGCACGCTGAGGTCAGACGAGTGGGAGAAGCAAGGAGAGCTGGTTCTGTACAGAGGGAAGGTATATGTCCCGAAAGACCCACAGCTCCGCCACGACCTGGTGCAGCTACACCACGACGCGCAGGCGATGGGACACCCAGGACGGTGGAAAACCCTGGAACTCGTCTCCCGTGACTACTGGTGGCCATGGATGGTGGAGTATGTCAGGCAGTACGTCCGCGGGTGCGACACCTGCAACCGTGTCAAGTCCTTCCCCTCCTGCAAAGTGGGGAAGCTCATTCCGAACAAGATCCCTGCCCGCCGCTGGCAGGTGATTTCGGTGGACATGATCGGAGAGCTCCCCGAGTCAAAGGGCTACAACGCTGTCCTGGTCGTAGTGGATTGCCTATCCAAACGCATCCACGCAATCCCAACAGTGACAACGGTGGACTCAGCGGGGATCACGCGGCTTTTCCTTGAACATGTCTGGAAGCACCACGGCCTCCCTGAGGAAATCCTCAGTGACAGAGGGAGCGCCTTCGTCTCACGATTCTCGAAGGAACTAGCGGACCTCCTCGGCGTCAAGCTTACCCCCTCGACACCCTACCACCCCCAGACAGATGGGCAGACAGAGAGAGTAAACCAAGAGGTAGAAGCCTACCTCCGGGTATTTGTCAACCACTGCCAAGACAATTGGGCGGACTGGCTCCCGCTAGCGGAGTTCGCCTATAACAACCGTGTCCACTCCTCCACTCGCCACACCCCTTTTGAGCTCAACACTGGCCAACACCCCAGGATGGGGACAGAGCCTACATGCACATCCAAGGTAGAAGCCGCTGATGCCTTCTCATCGAGGATGATGAAGATGCAGGAAGAGGCGAAAGCGGCGCTAGAGCACGCAGCAGACGAGATGGCCCGCTACTATGATCGGAACCGTGAGGCGGCCCCTACGTACCAAGAAGGCGACCGGGTCTGGCTCAGCACCCAGAACTACACAACTGACCGCCCAACCAAGAAGCTAGACCATAAATGGACTGGCCCCTTCACGATCATTAAAGTCGTCTCCCCCACCGCCGTCAAACTCCAGCTCACCGCCCGACAAAGAGGGATCCACCCAGTTGTATCCGTGACGAACATCAGACTGCACTGCCCCGATGAAATCGTGGAACGCCCCACCGAACCCCGCCCTGGCCCAGACCTCATAGACGGAGAAGAGGAGTATGAGGTCGAGAAAATCCTAGACTCTAAGTGGCTACGCCGAAAACTCCGGTACCTGGTAAAGTATACAGGCTGGCCACACTCAGAAAACCAGTGGCTCATGCGCGACCACCTGACCCACGCCTCCGACCTAGTTGAGGAGTTCCACCGAACGCACCCCCACGCCCCAGGGAGAGAGAAGGAGAACCACCCAGCCACTTCAAGGTGAAGTGGCTTAAGGGGGGGTGATGTCAGGGCACGCCTGCCTGACCCCACGCCGTACTGCACTACCCCGCTATCACTCCCCCTCTCTCCTCCCCCACTTTCCCCTTTCTCTCTATCTCTATTTCTATTTCTATCCTACGGTCGATTTCCCTTTCTCTATGTACCACTACATACCTAACCCCACCCCCCCTGATCGCCGCATGTGCTGCGCACACTCCCACCTACTGAGCGGCCACCTCCGGGATCTCCCATGGAGACACCCAGGGAGGTGCAGCTGTGTGCAGAGATGACGTGGCTTCCTCCACGTGACCCTAGCCGCATGTATATAATAGTGCCTGGGGTGGGAACAGAAGAAGCAGCCTTCTTCTCAACTTCCCACTTCGGGTAAGTACCGTAGCTTTCCCCTTTAATGATAATCTCAACTTCCCACTTCAGACTAAGTGGTCGGGGACGCTCACCCTGCGACGGGATCGCTGCTATGCACAGCTGCTATTCGTCCCACCGAGTCCCGCGCGCAGGGACCTCGCCACTTTTGGAGCTGTCCCTGACATATGCTCCTTCCTTTATTTATCTGTTATTGTTTGTTTCGACCCTCGGTCATTGCTGGCCGCTATGCGGCCAACCCCGCTCCTTATTCATGTTTGCTTCCGGACCCTTCGGCCTTTGGCCCGGGTCCGCTTCCATTCATTCTTTCTCCCTATATATATCCTGTATGATACTTTATTGTACCTTAGCTCTAATATCGATTTGACCATGACCCCTCAAGTCCTGACCCCAACAAGGCAACCCCAGTAAGTCTGAAATGAGGGCCAAGAGACAGCTAGGGGGCACAGCGCTCCTTTAGAGTCGCTGAGGCCAAATGCCCTACCCTCGGGCCTTGTTTGCAGCATCACAGCCATCGTGGCCTATAGCGGCCTGCAACGGCGACCTTCGGTGCCAACCCCGGACCAGTGTCTACCCCTTCTACCTCTGTCAATATACAAATTCTTGTTTGTACAGCTTTGGGCGCAAATGATCGTAATTCAAGCTTTCGGACTCAAGAAGAACAGTTGACAATTCTACAGTATTTCTGGAATATTAGTTCTAAATTTCCAGATCATTTGAGTATCCTCCATCCCTTTGAGCATCTACACCGTTTGGATTTGTTGGCAATTAATCAGTTCCATTGTGTCCCATGCCTGTTATAAAAATGGGGCCTAATTGGCCCATTTCTATAGCATTTGGGTGCAGGAGAGGGCCGTGACATCGAAAGAGTGTTACAGTTAATGTAACAGAAGTTATAACAGTGGTGTTTACAATAACATGGACAGGAATATTTTTGGGTAGTAATTGATGGTTAAGTTGTTACTATTTACATGTCACATGATAATATACTGTACAGAGGCCATAAGAGGCTAAAAATGGGAATTTCCCATTTCCATAACAATGCCACTCTAATCATGTTCTGTTGTCTCGTGAACAACTCCAAACCTTGCTCTTCTCCCATATAATGTCTGACAAATCCTGTACCTTCAGTGGCCCAAATCCCAACCACTTGCAGTTCCATGCTCATTGCAATTCAACTTTAACTGCTGATAAGGAAAGACCCCTTAACTGGGCTCGCTTAATACAATGGATTGTGTCTGTTGACATCCATGAACAAGTACTCCAATGGCTGCTCTCACTGTTCCACTTGCCATTCAATTCCACTGCAAGTTTGACTGATCTCTGCCACATTCTGCTGGATCATGCTGACTTTTGCTCCCCCCCACACCACATTCAACCACAGCCAATCACACTGAGTGGAAAAAGGATTGTGCTTCACATTGGCCTGAAAAGCTCTCACTCGAGTCTAAATCACAACTACTCTAGCTCTGTAACTACCACACCTTACTGGATTCTGATCACCTTTCATCCAAAGTATGCACTGTTTGTGGGGCTGCCAAGTTTGGTGAGTTCATGCTCTCAGAGCCTGTGAATTAGATGAGTACGATGTTTCGATTTTGGAAGGCAGTTACCCAGCCAATGCTCCGCACCCTTTCCCTTCTAGCCCTGCTCTCGAAAACATTATGCTTGTGGCCAAGGGCATAGTGAATAGTGTCAACTCCTCCATTACCATTCGCATTTGCACTGATTGTCACTGATCACTCAAGCACCATCGTTTGCCTAACACTGCCATTGCCAATGATTTGTTCTTTGGACCAATCCCCCCAGAACTGGCAGACCTCACTTTGATCGAGGAAGCTCTGATAGCCCGACAGCGTGTGAAGAGCTGGATCATTCATCTGCATGATGACTCCCTCCCTTCTGCCTGTACTGTTAGAACTTGCGGATTCGGACGACTCCGGAATGGAATCGGAGACTTAGCATGGAAGGACCTTGGCCTCAGTGACTCAGGCAGAGCGCTGTGCCATTGCTGGTTGTCCTAATTTCGGATCTAGCAGAGGGAAAGTCTCTTGGGGGAATTCATGTCGATTTCGGACGAAACCAAGACGAGTATGTACAAGCGCCGATATATATAATGGAAGGGGCAAAAGCACAAAGAGAACAAAGGGTGACTGAATCGGAACGAAGACGTCCGAACGGGAACAAAGGGTAGAGGGAGTGGAGCGGTACCGAAGGTCATAGGGCAAGACCTGTGATACATCCGAAAGGAGGTAGGGAGGGCGAGGCCCAGAGGGGCAGGAGGATGAGGGGAAGTGGGGATGATGACTAACTGGCTAGAATAGAAAGAAGCAGTAGTCCAAATAGGGATGAAGGGAAAATGCGAGAAATACATTACAGGCGGCGAGAGTGCCGAAGGCGGTCCGCGAAGCTCGGGGGTTGCGGAGCTTACAGAGGTTACGGAGGCGGGGTTGGAAGTCCGAGGAATATTGGCAATGGTGTTTACGTAGTATGAGGTCACCAATGCAATGGACTAAGGCCGAGGTGGAGTCAAAGTCCGAGGTAGGGACTATGACAGAGGCTCGGAGTAAGGTACGAGCGGTGTCCGAGTGCGAAGTACGGAACAGCGGTGGAAGGTCGTAACTTGGCAGAAGGGTGGCGGAGGAGTAACAGAGGGAGAAGAGAGGGGAAAGGTAAGGAAGAGGGAGTGGCGGAAAGGAGAGTAGTCAGGTCCGAAGGTGAGTATCGGAGCGGACGGGGGAAGCGTAGGAGGATAACGGGAGGGTGGAGGTGTTGTGAAGGGGGAGCGGAGTAGTAGGAAGGGTGGCGAGTGGGGCGATGTTCGGTCCGAGATGAGTATCGGAGCGGATGGAGATAGGGTCGGAGAGGTAAGGGGGAGGTGTGTAGCCAGGACCGAAGGTGAGTATCGGAACGGCAGCGGTAGGTTATGACTCCGGAGGTGAAGAGGGTGGAGGTCCGGAAGTCGGGTCGGGGTCGGGTATGCACGGATATGACATGTACAACAGGTGCTTCTTTTTCTTCGTCTAATCCAACCTCTCAATGTGCACTCAAGGGTCACATCATTGTCTTTCCTGCAAAACCTGAAGCCTTATCCCCTTTTTTGCCCCCTGCATTAGAAGATGTGATCACTCTGATGTGCATCGTTTTTGTAGGCTCAATCCCACCAACTAAAGAGTGGCTCAAGGCCAATGCACGTCCTCTGATAGTTCGATGCGAGAAGGTGCACCATGCATTGGAATGGCTTGTTGCCAACAATCCACTATACCATGATGTCATTCTCCACAAAGGGCATTTGAACCAGATACCATCGCATGATGTGGCTGTTGTGAGGCAACAACCCATGACTCACCAGCAAGCACACATGACCCGCATGTGACACACGGTCCTCGTGATTGCGAATGTATAGTTTCTCATTATTTGGGATTGTTTTCTTTTTTCCTCAGTTCTCGCTACGGAGACTGAGGTCAGTTTCCTCTTTGACATTCCTCATAACTTAGTAACTCATTCCAACCAGTACATTATTATAGGTTAGAATGCTAATAATATTAGTTCTCGCTATGGAGACTGAGTACATTATTATAGCCCTCCGTTAGTGGTGCCCATTTTGACTGAACATCACCCAGGCTCAGTGGCTAGTGATGCACAAGGCACATGTTATGATGTTCCACTCCCCCCTGACTCTGGTCTCCTGTCCTCACCTCCACCTCCTGCCCACTTGTTGCAGAGTGTCGTTGTAACCGATTGTCTGTCAGGGCACACACCCTGACTAGCCCAGACCTGGACCCATGTCTGGACCCGCTTCCACCTGCTGCGCTTCCCGCACGTGCGCACATTCCGCGCACCGCATGCTCTGGGCCCGGTTCCTACCCCTTCATGTGACTTCCAGGTATCCCCGGAAGTTTTCTCGATATGGTGGCCACTGTGGGAAGATGAGAAGTTAGCTTCCTTCTCATCTTCTTACACACAGTAGGCAAGTGTACATACTTGCCCCTCGTTTTATATCATCTTCTTACCCACAGTAGGTTGTGCCCTGGATAGGGCTGGTTACACCATAGGGCTGTGGACCATAGGGGAGGGTCATGGGGACCCGGGAGTCGTCCCCTGACATTGTCAGGGTCGTGCATGCTCACAACAAAGGATGCCCCCAAAACCAAGTTGATAGCAAAGCTGGGGGACATGCCCATGCCAGCAAAGGATATATATACACAGTAGAGATGGTAACTAGCCAACTAACTAATAACCAGTGGAAGCGGATCAAAGATGATAGAAGATCACACAGCATCATAACCAATACCATGTGACCAGATCAAATAGAAGATCAGAAGTGGAAAAGAAGAAGAACCTGATGGGGATACGGGCCATGTGGCGCTGCGCTACTTATGCTAGCGACCCAAAGACGTGCCCTGACACCAATCTCGATATGCACAATTCTAATTCAGCTGAAATGACAGCAGTGGCTATATGCCATCTCAAACATGCTAGTGGTGAAATTGGGGGTCACATTCAAGTCAGACATGCACCGGATCTGGTCAATTATTGCTCTGATGTTAATTTGTTTCAACTCCTGTATCCCACATTGTTCCCTTATGGTGTGGGCAGTGCACCACAACCCAGAGGTAGACTGGATGCGGCAAAAGGTCAATATGTCTCACTGCCCATCCTCCTGCCAGTTGATGCAAGTGTCATATCCCAGAATCACAACCCCGCACTCTCCCACCTCACTACACCTTCCTAACAACCTCATCATCCCCTACACCATACCTCCCCACTTCCCAATGTCACCTTCCTTCCCAACTGTCTCAGCTCCAGCCTGGATTTCAGCACACTTGCCCTTGGCCACTCCCATCCCAGAAGCTTGGCCCCAAGTTGGAACATTTGGAGACTCCAGATTTGCTCCGACCTCCCAACGGATCTCTGACATCGTGTGACATACCTCTAAACCATTCCCCCTCCCATTTCATTTAGTGGAGTCACCCAACATCCTTTGGATATGTAACTCCGGCTTCGGAGCTACCTGCATCCTCCAGTGATCCCGCTCACATCATCATAAATTAGTCACCTCCCATTTGTAGTACGACTGTTGTCTTCTTTCCATTCAGTTGGCTAACTTCCTCTTACCCATTTCTCGTTCCCATTTATCCTCCAGCCTTCTACTCTGCCCTCCTCGACCCAACACCTCAGTTTCCCATTAAGGATATTGTTTGGGACCTTTCAGTACCTTTCGGTATCATTCGGCACCTTTTGGTGTTTGTCAGTATCACTTGGACTTTGACTAAAAGTCCTTCTCCTCCTCCCTCTATATATACCTGTAGATTAGAACCCTTTGTACCTCAGTTCTAATCTCGACTAAAACTTACCCCAAGTCTGTCAAAAACCCGTCGGTTAGGGAAGAAGGGGTGAATGCGTGAGTCCGAATGCAGGCGGGGGCTCAACTAGAGGGGGGTCCGAGGGCTCCGGTGATGAACCGAAGCCCCTCAGGGAGCCCGGTTCTGCTGGATGGTACAAGAGGCTCTAAGAAGGACGCGGCCTCAGCGACTCGGAGGGAGCGCTGTGCCTCCGTTACGTCTCTGTTAGTCCTTGTATTTCTTATGTCTGAGGTGTCTTGTAGAACAGAGACAGGAATCACTCAGAGGGACTTTGGGTGGCATTTTAGTCGAGATTAGAACTGAGGAACTACAGGTTCTAATCTACATGTATTTATAAAAGTGGATGGGGAGGACTTTAGTCAAAGCCCGAAATGACAAAACGGGGAAAACACCGAAAGGTACCGAATGATACCGAGAGGTACCGAATGGTTCCGAACGATATCTAAAACGGGGAACCGAGGTGTCGGGCCAAGGAGGGCGGAGTTGGAGGCCGGAAAATGAATGAGGAAGACAAATGGGGAAGGGGGGTTAGCCGACTGAATGGTAGTAAGAAGGTAGTCGTGCTAAGAATGGAAGATGACTAATAAGTGATAGCGTGAAGGAGATCACCGAAGGATACGGTTAGTTCCGAAAGCGGAGTTGCGTGTCCGAAGGATGTTGGGTGACTACAATAAATGAAGTGGGCGAGGGAATGGTTTAAGGGCATGTCACGGGATGTCGGAGGTCCGTCAGGATATCGGAGCAAATCCGGGGTCTCCGAATGTTCCGACTCGGGACCGAGGTTCCGGGATGGGAGTAGCCAAGGTTCGGTGTGCCGCAACCCGACCGGAGCTGAGACAGCCAGGAGGGAAGGTGATTTAGAGAGTGGGGAGGCATGGTGTAGGGGATGGTGAAGTTGTTAGGAAGGTGTGATGTGGTGGGAGTGTGCGGGGTCGGGATTCCGGGATATGACAAAGTCCCTCTATGAGTGAATCCTGACCTCCTCCTACAAGATACCTCAGACACATGAAATAAAAGGACTAACTGAGACATAACAGAGGCACAGTGCTCCCTCCAAGTCACTGAGGCCACATCCTTCTTAGAGCCTCTTGTACCACCCAGCAGACTTGGGCTTCCTGGAGAAGCTTCAGTTCACTACTGGAGCTCTCGGAACCCCTCTAGTTGAGCCCCACCTGCATTCAGACTCACACACGTTGAAGGAGAGAATGAAGGAAGGTCAGTTGGGAGGTTCAAACGAGACCACCACCAAGCTGTTCCCTGGTTCTTTAGTTAGGATGGGGAAGTGTACTAGTAATATTTGTTGTAATTATAGTACCAATCCGAGTGTTTTGGCTAATTCTATTTTATGGGTTAGTCTAAAAGTTTCTGAGAATTGACTTACAGATAAACCAAGCCCTGCAGAGCTGTTCCTCTATTGTAATTTCTCAATTTGTCTGGGTGTAATTCTGTGTAGGGTCATTTAATTTGGATTTTAACTTGAATTAAATCTTCTACTTGGTGAAGTTTCAAAGATTCTACTCAGTTAATGGGTTTAGATTGTGTCTGAAGTGTCCCTTGAGTTTGTTTTATTTTTGTCTTATTTTATTGCTTGTTTTAACAGTAGCAAAATAACTGTTTTGTGTTTACACTTTGAAATCTGGAGTGTTAACCAGCTCTCCTGTTGAGATATTTACTTAATATTTCTCTCCCTAATTGCTGCCTTTTACTACAGTGGCAATCTTAACTGTATATCACTTTTTTGCGCTGGAGTGACAACCAGAAATGCTTGAGAAAAATAATACTCTATTTTCTTACTTCTCTGAGGGGGGGGGGGGGGGTGAAAGGTTGCAGAAAGGGTCTCCCTTTTATACTCCTTGGGTTGCCTTCCTTTTTCACGCTCTACCTTGTATTTACAGGATTTATTTACAGTGTATTTTCCTCAAACTGAATAAAAAATGAAAATTTCATGCTATAGTTCTACTGCGCCTAGAATCCTTATTGTCCTTCCTCACCTAAGCTATTTTAATGGTTAATTAGAACTTGACTGCACTGCATTTGTCACAGTTTTCTATTTCAAATTCCTCATATTTACCATTAAGTTCACTATGACTCGGTCATTCTGAATTCAAACTTTGCATTACTATGCGTATGGCTGCACTGAGACCTTCAGCTGATTTATTCTATTTTTATCCAGTAACATTTAGTTGAAATGAGACTTGAAATGATAAATGAGTGAATTATTCAGGTTTAGAACTGAAAGAAAAAGTTGCTAGTAGTCAAGAGTTGTTCAAACGAATGTATTATAGCTCTCTGCTTCATTAGTATATCGTTCCCTAAAATTCCTGCCATGGTCTGTCATAGTTTAGTGGTTTTCATGGATTTCATCCATCTCCCCTGATTCCCCTTTGCATTATTGCATCCTAGTCCTTCATATGTATTGTTTGTTGTTATAGTAGGTCGTCCTCGAAGATATCATATTTTTATGTATTTTATTTGGGGCTCTGGACCTCTAGAAGCTGTCTTCCCACACGTTTTCAGGTTTCTAACTTCATGTCCTTGTATCTCATTCATTTCTGAATGGTTTTTCACGTTCTCGGTATCATAAATTTTCATTTATTCCCACCTTTCCAATGGTACTAAAGTTGTATTCTATTTCTTGGTATTCATCGAGTTAGCAAAAGTTTGTGTGCACATTCAGTAATCACGTGCATTGTTTCCATAGTTGCTCGTATGCAGGCGTCGTTTCTGTTTAATTGTTTGGGATTTATGGTATGTGTGGGTGTTTGTATCCTTTATATGGGCTTCCGTGATTTATTTCAGATTTTTCCCCCATGATCTAAGGTTGTTTTGTACTTTCCGTGCTTTGTTTTGACCAGGGTCTTCCTTATTTGGATGGAAATTGGTCTTTGCGATCTGCCGAAGTGCAGATCTCGGTTCTGATGGCCGGTTCCCTTCGCATCACCACCCTCACATGTCTTTAAACATGATGCGGATTTCTATATTCCTGTCATTGGTATAACTTCACAACGGC